CACCACGCTTATCACCTGAGGTCTCCATCATGGAGAGACGTACCACACTTATCACCTGAGGCCTCCATCATGGAGGGATGCACAGCTTATCACCTGAGGCTCTCCATCATGGAGAGACACACTGCGCTTACCACCTGGAAGATGACTGCAAACAGATTCTTCCCCAGACTGATCTGTTGATTTAGTGCAGTCCCAAGCAAAATCCCAGCACAGTCATAGACCAGTTCTAAAATTTATATGGAAGGGCAAATTAATTGAAATAGCTACAAAGATTTTGAAAAAAAGAGGAATCTCACACTTTTGAGACTTACTATGAAACTGTAGAAATCAACAGTGTGCGGCATTGAAGAAACGGATACACAGCTCCATGGAACAGAGTCCAGAGATAGCCCCACACAAATGGGGCCCTCAGTTTTGACAAAGAGCAAAAGAAATTGAAGGGAGAAAGGATAGTCCGTTCAACAAATGCTGCTGGGAAAAGCACCAAACGCTGACTAACTCTTATGCCTCATGCAAGTGTCTAAAACTATTTTAAAGCTTTTGGAAGAAGCCATAGGAAATCCTCACGACCTGGCATTAGGGAAAGAGTTCTTGGATTGACAGCAAAGCTACAATCCACTGATGAAAAAGAACCAACGCATCGCGCTTCATCAAAATTTAGAACTTTTGCTTCAAGAAAGACACTTTGAAGAGGACAAACTCCAGGATGGGAAAGAAAGTATTTGCAAATTGCGTATCCCCCAAAGGACTGGTATCCAGAATACACAAAGAACTTACACAACTCATCAGCAGGAAAACAAAACAGTCCAGTTAACTGTCAGCAGAATAAATGAGCAGACAGTTCACCGAAGAGGGTGTAAGGATGGCAGATGAGGCGATTCTGGATTGTGTGTCTTTAGCAGTTAGAGAAACGCATGCTGAAGCCGTGGGCAGACAGTGTCCACCTGCTCACATGCATGTCAGGACGCCGGTGCTGTCCAGGATGTGGCCGCCTGGGACTCTGTTCTGCTGGCAGGGACACGGATGAGCAGATGAATACGCTGTGTCCGTCTCTGCAGGGGCTGTGTCTGGGCAGTGAGAAGCCGTGGACTCCTGACACGCCCACTGCGTGGCTGTGTCCCAGTGGCTTCCTTTGAGTGAGAGGGGCCCAGCTCAGGAGGATACGCACAGCACAACTCCTTCCCGCGGCCCATTCCCTAGGAGCCGTCCTGGCATGCCGGGGGCAGAGTAGCACAGCTGTGAGGGGCCACGGGAGCCACTGTGTGTCCTGATTGTGGTTGTAAATACGTGCACACTTCGATACAATTTCATTCATAGAACCATATACGAGAAATAGCTAAGTGATAAAAAGTAAAATGAAAAGGAAACAGTAGAGTTCCATCTTGCAGAACAGATGGGACAATCCGCAGTGTCCCTCAGTTGCTGCTTTCTATGGGCTTTAGATTACGGAAGTGTTTTCTGTCTCCAACTTCCACTGTGTGTGACCAATCTCACACCTGTGGTCAGACGTCAGCGTGCCATGTCAGCGTCCCTGGAGCCAGTGTCTGACTCTTGCAGAGTGCTGGGCTGTCCTGACTGGGTCCCCTCCCCAGAAACACGAGCCTCAACCTGGCCCTTGGAGGCCCAGGCCTCCCCTATACCATCTGGGAACCCCAGGACAGTGGGAATACGTGCATCCTCCGCATAGTTTTCGAGGAGCTGATGCTGAAAGAACTGTTGTCTCGGCATTCTCAGAGGGTCTTACAGCTCAGTGGCGATGCCTAAGGTGAGGCCTGCAGCCTGGGCAGGTGGGTGCAGAGGTCACACAGAGCTGTCTTGTGGGGAGGATGGCACCTGAGAGGCAGATGTGGGTGCTGCATCCCCGTCCTCGTGGCCTGTCCATTTTGGGGCTGCACTTTCCCTTTGGGTGGCCTGACTCAGCCCTGCATGGAGCCCGTGTGGAGCTCCTGTGGCCTGACTCAGCCCTGCGTGGAGCCCGTGTGGAGCTCCTGTGGCCTGACTCAGCCCTGCGTGGAGCCCGTGTGGAGCTCCTGTGGCCTGACTCAGCCCTGCGTGGAGCCCGTGTGGAGCTCCTGTGGCCTGACTCAGCCCTGCGTGGAGCCCATGTGGAGCTCCTGTGGCCTGACTCAGCCCTGCGTGGAGCCCACGTGGAGCTCCTGGTTTAGTTCTGGAGGTGGGTGTGGGAGGGGCTTGTCCTGGGCCCTGGTGGTGTGGGGAGGTGACCTGGCCACCATTTTTCTTGCAGAGGGCGGGGTCCCAGCATGCAGGGCTTGCAGTGTCATCCTCTAGCCTCTTGGTAAACTGGTGACTCCCCCTTGGACCTGCAGTGCACAGGCTGAGGGGCTTTTTGGACACAGCAAAGGGGTGCCCAGAGACACCGGAGGTCCCATGTCCAGGTAGAAGGATGGCTTCTCTCGCCACACTCCCAGTGGCCCCGTCTTGGACCTCAGGGCGTCTCCCCAGGTGCTGGGTGGGCTCTGGAATCCAGGGCATAATGCTTGGTGCCAGCTGAGAGAAGAGCAGCCTCTGGAGTGGAGCCTGGCTCCATCCTTCTCTATGCTGCCCCATCTGGGGCCATTCCAGGCAGAACCGTGGCTGGATGAAGGGGGGTGGGAGCGGCTTGTGTGGAGCCTGGCACCGCAAGGCTCCTTGTCGGTCTGGCTGGGCATGGAGGCGATGCTGGTTGTGGCCACACTGTGGCGGTGGTGTTTGCTCAGTGGCCAGTACTGCCCCGTGCCATGTGGCCCCTTCCTGACTGTGGTGAGCTGGGAGCTGGCTCTCCGGGAGGAAACCCCACCCGTAGTGTTGGCGTGTCTCAGGTGTCAACAGTCCCACCACAGCGTTCTCCACTGCCTGTGGGTCGGGCTGTGGCATCGCCCCAGTGCGCCCTGGTTCAGGCCTGCGGTGCAGCTGCTGCGGGCATGGCCTTGGAGGACTGAGGCCTAGCGCCGTGGGGGTGTTGGTGGACTCTAGGTGGGTGCCCAGAGTCTTGGTGTTATGCTCGGGACGAGGGGTGTTAGGGGCTGGGGGTCACCTTATATTGACATGAGCTAGAACATAGCCTTGTCATGGCTGGACCCAGCAGTAAGAGGCAAACCCAGGGTCTCCATGTCCTTGGGATGCTGCAGCCTGCTTGGGGGCTGCCAGTCTCACATGAGGACCAGCTGCCCTGCGTACTGGGGCAAGAGAGACCTCGGAGTGGGCCCTGTCCCAGCCAGGCTGCTGACTGCAGGTGCCCACATAGGCCACTGCACTCCCCTGGATCCCCCGGAGAGAGGCTTGGCCTCTAGCAGTGAGAAGGGTGCTCCCAGAGAGTGGAGCCTGGCTGACAAGTCACAACACAGCCTCCCGGGAGGAGAAGGAGCCTCTCTGCTTTTAAAATACAACAGAAAAACAGCACATGTTTGTTTAAGTGAATACAACTGAAGCCACTTAGATGCAGAGGAAATGAAGATGACCCCTTCATATGATCACACGTGTGTTCGGCCATGTGGCTGGCAGGGTCCCCAGCATGATCCTGGCTTAGTTCTTCAATGGCACAAGCTGATCCGTCCGTGGAGTGCAGGGCGGTTCCCATAGGCGTCGGGAGTGTGTCGGCCTGGGGAGGAGACACCTGGGTCTGTCACGTCTCTGCTGCTGGCACCACCTCTGCCTGCAGATGACCTGGACGGGTGGGACCCAGTGGCTGGGTGGGTGCGCAGCAGGCACACCCCTGACTGTGTCTCTGTACCCACAGACAGTACTACTGGTATGATGAGCGGGGGAAGAAGGTCAAGTGCACGGCCCCTCAGTACGTCGATTTCGTCATGAGCTCCGTGCAGAAGCTGGTGACGGACGAGGACGTGTTCCCCACAAAATACGGTTGGTCTCCCCCTCCAGCACTGGGTGGTCATTCCCACAGGGTGGGCAGCGGGCATTCAGGACGTGGCTGCAAGCCACCAAGGCTCTGCTGCGAGGGGCAGAGACATGGAGGGTGGTGGCTGCGCCGACCCAGCCCCTGCTTAGCACGGGGCCACTTGGGCTGCGGGGCGAGGCTGGAGCCCTTGGGCAGGGGTCAGCCCAGCCAGGGCCGAAGGCCGTCTCCCTGGCCGCCTGGGCCATACAGCTGAACATGGTCCCTGTTAGTCTCTGCCTCTCACGCTGCTGTCACTGTCTAGCTTGTGGGGGCTTGGGCCGGGGAGGAGCTGCTGAGCCCGTGTCGATTTTGGTGGGGCTCCACGGCACTCCTGTGCTGCCAGAGGGACGGCAGGGGACAATGGGCCTGTGCCACCATCGCTCTTCCGTCCCAGCCCGGGAGAGGGCTCCAAGTGTCTGTCAGGGAGACATGGGGTCCCGAGTGCCCGGTCACAGGCCCCTCCCTGAGGAGGAGGGCCAGGACAGCCCAGTGAGCGCCCAGCCCTCGGGGCAGCTGTAGCTCTGGAGCCTGAGCCCGCAGGGAGGCCTCAGCAGCCCGGCCTTGGGACTGGCAAGGCACTGTGGTGCTGCCAGTGGGCAGAAGCTGTTGCTGCTGGGGCTTTGCAGCCTGGAGCTTGGCAGGGCCAGGTTGGGGCAGCAGGCACCAGACCCACCAGGCCAGGTGCCAGGGGCCCGGCCTCTCTCGGGGCCAAGGGACGTCTGCAGCTTCTAACGCTGCGGTCTCCCCCAGGCAGAGAATTCCCCAGCTCTTTTGAGTCCCTGGTGAGGAAGATCTGCAGACACCTTTTCCACGTGTTGGCACATATCTACTGGGCCCACTTCAAGGAGACGCTGGCCCTGGAGCTGCACGGACACTTGAACACGCTGTATGTCCACTTCATCCTCTTCGCCCGGGAGTTCAACCTGCTGGACCCCAAAGAGACCGCTGTCATGGACGACCTCACCGAGGTGCTGTGCAGTGGGGCTGGTGGGGTCCACAGTGGGGGCAGCGGGGACGGGGCCGGCAGCGGGGGCCCAGGAGCACAGAACCACGTGAAGGAGAGATGAGCCCCGCGGGCTGGACAGGGGCGCACGTGTGCAAAGAGACGGTGGTGTGTGTGCTCTCCGTGCACCTGCGCGTGCACACATGCTGGGCACGCGTGCGGCGAGTCTGAGAGGGCCCTGGCTGCACTGGCGTGGGCTGCACAAACACAGATGGCCCGGCCATGTCCTGCGGCCCCTGTCGGATGGATGCGTGCCGTTTGTAGAGAAGAGCCTTTGGGCCCATTTGCTCGTTCCGCAGACATGTGGGACTGATGCTCTGAGTTTCTTCTGTGGGGTTTTCCTTTCTCTGGTCTCCGTGCAGCCCCTGCCCTCCCCGGGGTGCTGGTGGCCTCAAAGGAGGAACTCTTGGGGGGGGCGCCTCCCCCAGGAGGGCGTGATTTGCAGACTTGGGTCTCTGCTCTGCTTTGGGGGTGGGGCTTGCTTTCACAGAGACCCCTCCTCCCTGCTCGCCCCTTCCTTTCCCGGCCTTGCCAGGGACGTGGCTGTTGGCAGCTCAGAGGTGGGCGAGGCCTGGGGTGCGGGGTGCCCTGCACCTGCTCCTGCTCCTGTTGCCCCTTCCTGCTGCCTCCTCTGTGCCCAAGGAGCACCCATGGTGCAGTCCTCAGGCAGGGCCAGGACGGGGCTGAGGCCCTGCGTGGAGATGCTGCACTAGCAGAAGGCCGAGACCCGCTTACCTTAGTTCATCTGTTCACTCTTAATAAAAAGAATTCTCTCAGGTCAGAGCCTGTGTGCTTCCAGCGTCTCGGTGACCCCCTTCCCACCACACTGTGGGCAGTCCCAGGAGCAGGCACCCGGGAGGCTGCCCTGAGAGTTGGGGTCAGAGGAGAGTCGCCCCTCACTCACTGTGGGGGTCCACAGCCAGCCCGCCGGTGCCGTGGGGGAAGCACACACTCTGTGTCTCTTGCTCTCCCCAGCTGCCTCAGCCGCCTGCCTCTCCCCATGCTGGTGGTGGGGACCCTCCAATGTGGCTGGAGTCAGCTGGGGACATCTTCTCCAAAGGGTTCTGGGCCAGCCCAAAATGATGGCTCTGCTGCAGGGGCCATTGGCTGGCTGGGACAGTGTGGCCAAGGGGCTGGGGCCAGAGGCAAGCAGGTTCATGTCCTCAGCCTGGGAGTGGGTGGACGCATGCTGCAGGGAGGGGGGCCCTAAGCTGAAGCCTGGAGCTTATCAGGGCCTGGGTGGGCTGAGAAGCAGAAAGAGGGCTTCCCAGGTCAGGGCCTGGATGGTGCATACCTCTGTACGGGCCCCTGCCAATGGCGCCTGCTGGACGGTGACCTGGGGCAGCTCCACCCCCACCACTTAGCTAGTGGGCCTGCCCAGGTCGTGGTGCTCCCCTGGCCTCGGGCTCCTCCTGCAGGATGCACCTGTGGCCAACAGGCCGGTTCTTGGCTCTCCCAGGGACAGAGCTGCAGGTCAGAGGCCCTTTCCCCGCCCTGTCTCTCCTCCCACCCCAAGAGCTGACAGCTTCTGGGCTCCTCAGAACATGGCTGGGGGCATCCCCTCTGACATCCACGCATACCCCAAGGTACAGTGCCTGGAGCCAATTCCAGTTCCCAGAGAGGCCTGCTGGGTGTCACCCACCCTTGTCTCCTGATGCTCTCGTGTGGATCCCCAGAATGGAGGCCCCAGGATGCCCACAGAACTTGACTGAAGGGGCTGAGTGTAGGAGCCTGAGGCAGAGACCAGCAGCAAGGAGCCCCTGGGCAAGGGAGGGCAGGAGCAGGACAGGGGAGGTCTGGTGGGACTGCCTCTTTGGCTAGGGCCCCGCTGGGGTGTGCAGGGAGCTCCTGGCCGAGGACACAGGGAGCGGGTGAGGCACACAGCCTGGGTCCCTGTGTGCTGGTGAACCTGGGGCCTGGCTGCTCAGCGGAGGCCGGGGAGAAGATTGGACTGAGTGCTGGGGGGCGCAGGGGACTTGGGGCTGTCCCCACTTGGGCTGGAGGGGCCAGGAGGATGCCAGGATTCCTGCTGCAGCCTTGGAGGCAGCCTCAGATGGAGCATGTGTGGAGCCTGTGGGACGGCCTCAGGAGGTGTCCAGGGCTCGTGTTCATGCTGGTCTCACACTCAGGATGCGGCTGCAGGGTCCCCAGGGCATGTGGGAGTCGCGGGCACACGTTCCCTTGGGAAGGGTGGCTGGGATGAGGGCTGGCGTTGGGGGTACCTGCTGCTCGGCTGGGATGAGGGCTGGCATCGGGGGCACCTGCTGCTCAGCTGGGATGAGGGCTGGCGTCGGGGGCACCTGCTGTTCGGGCAGCTGGGATGAGGGCTGGCATCGGGGGCACCTGCTGTTCGGGCAGCTGGGATGAGGGCTGGCGTCGGGGGCACCTGCTGTTCGGGCAGCTGGGATGAGGGCTGGCTTCGGGGCCACCTGCTGCTTGGGCGCCTGGGATGAGGGCTGGCGTCGGGGGCACCTGCTGCTCGGCTGGGATGAGGGCTGGCTTCGGGGGCTCCTGCTGTTCGGGCAGCTGGGATGAGGGCTGGCGTCGGGGGCACCTGCTGTTCGGGCAGCTGGGATGAGGGCTGGCGTCGGTTGTACCTGCTGTTCGGGCAGCTGGGATGAGGGCTGGCTTCGGGGCCACCTGCTGCTTGGGTGGCTGGGATGAGGGCTGGCGTCGGGGGCACCTGCTGCTCAGCTGGGAGTCTGGTGGACCCGTCCTACTCCTGAGCTGAGGGGACTGTGCTGTGTGCTCTCCTCCACTGGATGGCTTCTTACAAAACCTGGAGTCCTGGCCAAGCCTTCCTGCCTCAGCCTCAGTTTCCCTCCCCGAACAGGAGGCCTATAAACTGAGGCAGGGGAGCTTGGTGGTGTGGGCTCGGTCCCACCTGCAGCCTTGGCTCACTCAGTCTCTGTGGTCTCTGTTCTGAAAGGCAGAATGATGGTCTCCAATATGGTCCCCAAAAAAGATCCGTGTTCTAATCCTGAGCGCCTGTCAGTGTGTTGCCTTATGTAGCACAGTGGGATAGAAGCTGCAGATGGAATCAGGTTCCCCATCTCTGGCCTTGGGCTTGGGAGGGGTCGAGGTTCCTGCTCACTGACCTCAGGATGGGGGAGCTCAGGGTTCCCGATCCGTGACCTCGGGCGGGGGAGGGGTCGAGGCTCCTGCTCACTGACCTCAGGATGGGGGAGCTCAGGGTTCCTGATCCGTGACCTCGGGCTGGGGAGGGGTCAGGGTTCCTGCTCACTGGCCTCGGGCTGGGGTGGTATCTGGATAGGCCCAGTGTTGTCTGGAGGGCTGAGGGCACTGAGCAGGCAGGCAGCGGAGGAAGGCAGCACAGCGTGGACGTGGGGAGGGCCTGAGTCAGTAGCGCAGGCAACTCCTAGAAGCTAGGGAAGGAGGGAACTCAGAAGGAACAGGCCTTGTTGACTAGCCCGGTGAGGCTCGTTTGAGATAAGTTCATTTTGTCTCCAGCACGAAGTTCACGGCAGCTGCAGCAGCAGGAGCTGAAGGCAGAGTTTGGTTCTAGGCATGAGGTGCTGCTGGAGCAAACACCTAGAAAGGTGGAGGTGGCTTTGGAATTGGGCAGAAGCTGGAAGAATTTCGAAGGTGATAGAGAAAGCCCACGATGCCCTTAAACCGGTGGCAGTAGAAGGATGGGGGTGAGTGTGGCTCGAGGGGCTGGGAGATTGTGCTCCGGGAAGAGTCAGAGCTGCTGTGCACCGCCCTTCTGAGACACAGCAGGGTTAACGGTGCAGGCGGGAGCTCAGAAAGGAAGGAGCGGGGGCCAGGGAGAGCCTGGTCCGTGGGGGAGAGGCGCAGCTGCACTTGTGCGGGCGGTCAGCCTGCGTGGAAGGTGCTGGAGTGCAGCCGGGCCCCTCCCTTCACTGCTGAGAGGGAACCTTGAGCAAAGGAAGATGGTAACAGGTGAGCACCCTGCCTTCGGGAATTCTCAGCTAAAGACGCTGACGGAACGTGTGCTTGGAGCTCCTGAGGAGAGCGAGCCTGTGGCTCGTGGGTGCCCCAGGTCACCCGAGCAGACACCGAAAGCAGGGATGGCTGTGGGAGGACCTGCCATGGGCCCAGCCCCTCACTTGTTGGGTGAAGCTCCGTGAGAACCATGAGGGGATTTACACCATCAAAAACTCACTTGGCTTGGATTGAGGCGGGGGGTTTTATGAGAGGCTCCTGGGCCCCCAAAAATGATCAGGGAGGAGGCAGACTAAACTGTTGAGTTGCAAACACTTGCCATGTCTCATAAAAAGACAGCGTGGTCTCGAGGTGCAGCAGGGTCCGGGACCCACTGAGGGAGATCCCAGGCCTGGCTGGGACCTGAAGGAGTGTGCCCAGCTGGATTTTGGATTTCTTGGGAGCAGTGACACGGGCACCCTGCAGTTTTCTGCGTGAGTCATGTCCATACGTACATATACAGGAATGACCGGGTCTCACTGTCACCCAAACTGGAGCGCTGGACGATCCTAGCTCACTGCAGCCTCAGACTTCCGGGCTCAAGCGATCCTCCCCCTTCAGCCTCCCGAGTAGCCAGGGCCACAGCTGCGAGCCTACACCTGGCTGATTTTGAAATATTCTGTAGAGGTGAAGATTCACTATCCAGGCTGGTCTTGAACCCCTGGGCTCAGGTGATCCTCCTGCCTCTCAGCCTCCCAAAGTGCTGGGCCCCCACACCTAGCCAGACTTTCTTTGAAACAGGGATGTCAGTGACTGGCATTCTGCATCTGTCCTCCGGTTGTATTTTGGGAGCAGGTAACTGGTTTTCTAGCTTTAGGGGTCCACAGATAGAGGGAAATTGCCCCAGGGTGCAATGCCCAGAGTCACCCATACCTGATCAGGGTGGCTTAAAGGGTGTGACTTGGGACTTGGGAGCTGATGAGATGTACATGAGGTTTGGGACTGGAGTGGGTGCTGTGTTCAGTGGAGACTGTTGGGGCCGCGAGAGGAAGGGTGCATTGGCACATGGGATGCGTGGGAAGCAGCGGGGGCAGGAGGGTGGGCTGTGGTCAGCATAAGGAGTCCCTCACCGCCGGGTCTGTGTATACCCTAGTCCCGTGGGAGTGAACCTGCCACCCAGCACAGCAAAGGGGAATGAAAGCAGATGGGATTAAGGGTGCCAGTGACCTTGAGAGGCAGGGATGGTCTGGGCCTAGTGAGAGCAAGAGAGGCCTTCGTTGTGGAAGCTGGAAGCTGGCTGGGGCGCGTGGACACAGCCATGAGGGGGCTCCACCCACACACTCCTGGCTGCAAAGGTAGAGACCCCGGGCCATGGGATGCAGGCGGCCGCAGACTCTCCCCTGGGGCCTCCAGGAGGCACACACCTTGATTCTAGAGCAGGGAGACCCCTTGAGTGAGGCCTGCCCAGTACTTGACTCAAGCTGGGAGGTATTGGTGTCTGAAGCTTCTTAGTCTGTGGTAACTTAACTGTGGTGGTGATAGGAAACCATAGGAGGTAATACACATACCAAGCGGGCCAAAGCGTTCTCACAGGGTCCTGGGGGGTGGGGCACAGAGGGCAACTCCACAGCAAGAGACGCCCCAGTGTAGTTTGTAGCCCAGTGGGCCCGGCCGGCATGCAGGTGGCCCTTCAGGTCATGTTCCCTGCATGTCTGTCAGGCCCTCCCCCCTCACCGCCAGCAGGCTCCGCTGCCTGGAAGGTCGCTGCTGGCTCTTCCTCCTGTTGCTGCCCTCCTCCTCCTCCTCCTCCTCCTCCTCTCTGGCTCTCTGCTGTCCCGACCCCTTGCCGAATCACACCTGGGGTGGATCCAGGGAAGGGAAACTGAACTGGGAGAAGTCACTGGAGTGAGTGGGAGGGGCTGGACATGGCCTGGGGTGAGGGCAGAGGGCCTGGGCACTACGCCACTGGAGGGCGGGAGGCAGGGCCAGGCCTGGGAGAGCTCGCGGATAGGGGTGGGAGCAGGGCAGCTGGAACGCCACACCCTGAGGCAGCATGTGGGCATCAGCCGCCTCCTGCAAGCTCTGAGGCTTCGTCACACCAGGATTGTTCCGTCTTACAGCTTAGGCCGGGGCTCTGCGCCTGTGCGCTCCGTGACTGTGGGGAAAGCCCAGGGAAGGCTCAGAGCTAGGCCGGGGCTGCTGTGTGCAGGCGCCTTCCCGGAGCACCCACCTCCCGCCTGCTGGCATTGAGTCCTGTGTGGGAGCTGGGCCTGCTGTTGTCCCCCACCACCCACCCGCCATCCTATGGTGGGCTCGCCAGTTGGTTCGTCACCAGGGCCCACCTTTCAGGCCAGGCAGTGGCAGGCTCTGACCCCAAACGTGCCTCAGATTATCAGCCTAAGAGCCTAGAACTGGGACTGAGAAACTGTCCTCTCACTGGGCGGGCTGACCCACGGCCACATCCCTTTTTTTCCAATCTCCACTTTTAACTTCTTCGTGGACGTGATGTGAGGACCAGCTGGTGTAGAGTGGGACTCCTCTGCCACGTCAGAAGTCCTGCCGTATTTGTTTTCATTTTTTATACAAATACCAACAGATTCTGGCTTAGCTTGCTTTGGGTTCTGTTATTTACAACCAAGAGAGCTTGGTGTCAGCATGGGCTGCAGGGCACAGCCCTTCCTGAGCACAGCGGGAAGCGGGCAGGGCTCTTAGACACACTTTCCTTTTGGGCCTCCAGCCACATGCCTGAGAAGGCTGACTTCACACGTGAAGGTTGGGCGGAGGCCCAGGAGTGTGTGTCAGCTGCTCCCAGAGACGCACGTGTAGGACACAGGTCAGAAGGCTTCCGGTCCGGGCCAGCAGCCTGCGCCCCACTGTCTTGTGCTGCACTGAACCAGGCAGCCATGTTCCTTTTCTCAACCTGTTTCTTAAGGTGAGATGTACCTGGACACTGTGATCCAGGGACTGAAATGCAGCCTGATTCCCTGGGGCCCTCCCAAGTGCCTTCTCTTCAGGGCACCCACCTGTGAGCCACTTGGCAGTCCAGGGTCAGGCAGAGGAGGACGGCCCAGCTTCCCTGTGTCCTGGGCTCTGAGCAGAGCCCTGAGCTAATGAAGCCTGACAAACATGGTGGCCCCCGGCTCCCTCCAGAGAGATGGGCACAGGCACAGCTTGAAGTTCAGGGCAGGGGTTGTCACCTAGTGGTGATTCTGTCCCCCACCAAGAGACTCTGTCAATGTCTGGGAACTTTTTGTCACAGTGGAGATGGGGCAGCTATAGCTTCTGTTGGACTGAGACCAGGGATGTGGCCCCCACCCCAGTGTCATCCCACTGCAGCCACTGCTTGGAGCACCTGCTCCAGTGATAGACAGTGGGGTGCTGTCCGGCCACACGGAGTCCTTCACACAGGAGGGGAGTGGGCGTGGGCCTCCCAGGTCAGCTCTGTGGATGCTACTCTCTGCCCAGACCCCGCCGAGGCCTGCTCCTGGCCTCCAGGCTGCAGTGGACTCCCAGCCACTGGCCTCACGGTGTGGGCCTGGACCTGCCCTTCTGCTGCAGCACCAGATGGGCAGCTAGGCCAGGGCGTTGTGCCAGTGGAGCCCACGGCCCTGGCTGTCCTCTGTGGCAGGCATGGCTCGACCATCCTGCTCTAGCTCCAAGGGCTATTCCCAGCCTGGGCCCTTGCTCCCAAGGCTGGGTCATGGCATCCCATCCGGATTCTTCCCAGGTGAGGAGGGGAAGAAGGGTCCTTCTCCAGGAAAAGGCCCAGGCCCAGGCTGGCCCGTGCAGGCCTCGCGGTGGTGGCAGAGGAGCTGTGCAAAGAGCGGTCCTCCCCAGCCCTTGACAGGAGCGCAGCTCAGGCTCGGGCAGCCTTAGGGATGGCCCCCACATCAGAAGTGATCTCTGACCCTGGCTGCCCGGACCCTCGCCCTCTTCAGCTGGGCAGATGGAAGCTGCGTTCACACTGGCACAGCCCAAGGGCCGCAAGCGGGGAAGGGGAAGCTGTCCCGGCTGTCTCGGAGCCCTGCGCGCCCGCCCTGCCCGGATGAAGAGCTGCGTCGGTGTCTTTGCGGAAGGGATTTATTGTTCCGGAGCTGTGGCTGCTCACAGTATGTGACAGGGGTACACTGCAGGCGCGTGCCCGTTTCCGTGGTGCCTGCTGGAGTCCGCATGTGTCCGAAGCACAGAAGCAGAAGGCGGGCGAGAGGCTCTGCTTCGTGTCCTTGTCTCCGTGGAGAGCCCTTTCCGCCTGTGCCGCCTGGCGTTTGCTGTCCTATATGACTTTGTTCTTATGTGTAGAAATCCCAGCCTGTGGCAGAGGTCTGATGTTAACAGAAGCATTAAAATTGATACACGAGGTGGGTGCGAGGCAGGGGCACCGAAGCAGATGGACCCTGTGGCAAAGGCATGCATCAGAACGCCACCGCCCTCCCAGCCGCTGCACCCGGGCACTGTGCCCACCTGGGGAGCCGGGCACACGGGAACACAGAAGCCTGAGCTGGGGTGAAGCGAGGGTGGCAGGCACCAAGTGGGATGGGCCTGCAGCCCCCACCCCCCTGCACTGCACAGAACACCCTGCAGAGGAGCGCCACTGGCTCTTTCTGTCCTTCGGTTGCTTTCAACTTTTTTTGTTTTAATAAGAAAAGCCCCCGGCGCCCCTGCTGCCCTGTGCGTGGGGAGGGCCCTCGAGGGCCTTTCTCCTACTCCCTCACCCTTGGACACAAAGCCGAGACTGTCCCAGCCTGGGTCTTGACAAGGGCATGGGCACTGCTGCCCGCCGTGAGATGCCCTGAGCCCCCCCGAGGTGGAGCCGCCTCTCCACGGTGAGAAGCAGAACCCAGGACAGATCGAACCGCGCCATCTTTAGCTAGATGAGTGTGCAAAAACTGGGAGCCCGGGCTGAAACAAAACCTGGCCCTGCCCTGCCCTGGCCCTGCCCCTGCGGCGCCCCACCCCCACACCCTTTTCCAAAAACCACCAAGAAAAAAAAGTTTATAAAAATATCTTGCAGGAATTCTTTAAAGTTTACAGTAGCTCGCCAGCCCCCCGCACCCCGCCGGCTCTTGTCCTCAGAGGGCGCCCGGGCCCTGGACCCCCCCACTGCCCGAGACGCGCAGACGGCAGGGGATGCGGCTGCCGCCCTTCCCTGAACAGAGGTGTAGAGACTCCATAAATTAAAACAGCAAATAAATAACACTGATCCCAGCCCAGCGGCCTGGCCAGCCAGGAAGGCTCTGACGCCCCACGGTCTCTCTGTTTCCACCTCAGCCAGGGAGGAGCGCCAGAGCCCACGGCCGCCCCAGAGGAGGCGACGGAGGCATGGGTGAGACGGGAGGACGGGAGGCAGCCCGGGGAGGCCAAGACTATAGGAGGCGGCGCAGCCAGGGAGGCGTGAGGCGGCCTCCGAGTGCGGCGTGGAGGCGGCGGACGGGTCTGTTCCTGCAGCTACTTTGCCCGCCGGGGGGTCCCGGCCCCAAAAGGCTTCCAGGCAGGCTGTTCTTGCTGAGGGGTCAGGTGACCGGGTGACCAGGAGTCTGGCCGGGCTGGAGGAGGCTCCCCCGAGCCTGGCCCTCCTACCATGGGCCGTGCGGAGCTGAGGCGAGGAGCTGCCTCGGGGTGGACGGGGCGCTGGGCTGGGCCTCGCTGCCCGGCAGCAACAGCAGGAGCGGAGGGAGGGCGGGTCCGCAGCAGCTGCCTTCGGTCACAGAGGATGGCCTCGTGGAGGTGACATGTTAACTTTTCGGGATAATTCCTGGTATCAGAGTGGAAACAAGTGATGCCGTCAGAGACAGGCAGAGACAGAGACAGGAGAGAGAAAAGAGAGCGGGCGGGGGTGGCGGAGCCCACAGGCCGGCCCCGGCGCCCCTTTCCTTTCCTCCCAGGCTCTGAGAACAGTCTGGACGGGCGGGCGGGCGGCCGCGGGTCCACTCGGGGCAGGGCGGGCGGCGGGCGGCAGGGCAGCCGCCGTCAGTGCTGTGCTGGGTGGGGGGGGCTAGTGTGTCTAAGGCTGCTCGCGGCGGGCGGCGGGCGGGCCCGTCTTGGCCGTGTCCTTGCCCGTTGGGTACTCGGCGTCCCCTCCGGGGCCAGGGCCAGCGGCCGCGGAGTCACCGAGTGGGCCGTGGGCACTCCGCTTGGCGGGCGTGCTGGGGGCCTGGGCCGCCTGCCCGTTCTTCTCGTCTGAAAAAAGTTGTTTAATTACGTCAAAGAAGTTACTCAATGGGCTGCCTGGGTACACAGAACAGAGACAAAAAAAAAGAGAAAAGAAAGAAAAAAAGAAAAAAAAGGGGAGAGAAAGAGGAAGGGAGAGAAGGAGAGAGAAAGAGAACAAACAAACAAATGAACGAAGGGGCCTTGACGAGGGAGGGAACCCAGAGATGAGGCTGAGATGGGGCGGGCGGGGACCAGCGGGCAGCAAGCGGTGGGCAGGCGGCCGCCAGCAGGGGCCGTGCGGTGTGGGGAGCTGTGTGCCGTGGGGCCAGGAGCTCACGACCCCAGCACCTTCGAGCTGTTGCCCAGGACCCGGGGCTCCTTTGGAGAAGTGAGGCTTGGGACAGGTGGTAAGACCCTCCCTCCCTCCCTCCCCACCATTCCTCCCCACCTTGCAGCCGCGAGGGCTGGCCCACCCCAAATCCGGAGATGACAGCATCAAGACCAGGGCCTGCTGGGAGCTCTGAAGCCTCGAAGGGCCCTGGGGGCAGCTGCTGGCCCCCCCTGCGTGAGGCCCGGTGGAAGACGGAGAGGGTGTGCCTGCTACACCTCCCCAGAGAGGCCTGAAGCCCGGCCCCCGACCAGCTAGGACACAGCTTGGCAGCAGACAGACAGATGGACAGATGGGTGGACAGGCATGGAGGAGGTGGGTGTGGGAGGCAAGCTGGGCGGCTGGAGACAGGCAGCTAGAGTCACGTCCCAGGTCCCTCAGATGTGGGCATTCTGGAGGAGTGGGGCGTAAGTGGAGAGCCCACCCTTCCTGGGCCCTGCGCTCCCTGCCCACCTGTGCCGGTGGAGGCACCTCCACCCCACTTCCTAAGCCTGACCCACACCTGAGCCCCGAGCTGTGGCCCCTCTGCTCCCTGCCAGGCACAGCCTCCAGCGAACAGAGGGGTGGGCCCTGGCCCCTGCCCCAGACCATAGCCTCACGTGGGACCGTCAGTGGCTTCAGGCCTTGGTTGGGGGGCCCTTCCTGGGCCTGTCTTGATCTCCTAGGGCTGGGCAGGGGTGGGTAGAGGATGGGGTTGGGGACACCTAAGCTGCTGGGCGCCTACATTTATACCAGGAAGCCGGGACAGCCAGGGCGGCGAGTGTGGGCCAGTGCGGGCTGGGGCTGAGCGGAGGGGTGGCAGGCAGAGGTGCCAGGTGAGCGTGGGGGATTCTTACCACATTTGGAAAGCCGCCCCGTCATCATTTCCATACAGTTAGTGGTGTCTGGAGCACAGAATGGAGAGAGGAGGGGAGTGAGTGAAAGGCTGCCCCCACCCTCCCTCGGGCTGGCTGGACGCTGGCAGCCTCTGGCCGGGCCCTGGAAGGGGGCGGAGCCAGGAGTGGGTGAGACCCCACAGGCAGTGGTCAGGCAGACTGGGCGGGGCCAGAGCCAGAAGTAGGTGGACCCCCCTGGGGGTGGGGCCTAGAAGGGGCAGCGCCTGGAATGAGGCCGGGAACAAGTCAGAGCCACCTGGGCAGCTGAGGGTCCTCGAACAGGCCAGTGCCCTGGGTTGGTGGTTCCCTCCCCAGTGTGTCCCCTGGCCGCGGCCTGTGCCGGTCACTACGCTCCCTCATCGCACCACTCAGCAGCTCCAAGGCCGTCAACTCAAGGCAGGCACCCTCGTCCTTGGCCCTCTCCCCGATACTGGGCCTGGAGATGCTGGTGCTGCCAGGCCAGGACCTGGGTGGGAGCAGGGCCCTGGGAGGGCTGCTCCCTCGAGGCCCTCCCTGGCACCTGCACTGCTCTGCCTGTGCCTGCTCACCGGGGGCTTAGCCTCCCCTCTCTCAGCCAGGCTGGGGTCTCGTGGAGAATGAACAGTGCCTGAGGCGGCCCCCATCTCCCTACCCACCTGCCACAGGTCCTTGGAGCTGAGCTCCCTGGACAAGAGTGTCCAGTGTGTGTGTCTGTGTGTGTGTGGGGGGGGCGTGATGGTAGGGCTGGGCACAGCAGGATCGTGGGGACAGGGTAGGCTCCTGAAGTCCAGAGGGAGACAGATGGGGCCCAAGAGCCTCTGCAATAGGCCCCACTGAAGTCAGGGTCCAGGGCAGGCATGGACGGGCTGGGAGTTGGCTGGCGGGGAGTGGTATGTGCTGATGGGCAGGACCACACCTTGCAGGGCCAGGCTGGAGGAGCTCTGCCCACGGCCCACGCAGGAGCAGGCTGAGGTGCCCAACTGGCTGCTCAGGTGCAAGGACACCCTGGACAGCACCCCAGCGGCCGTCTCTTCACCCTCCTGGCCACCCCCTGTCCGTCTCTCTGGCCTTGGTGGCTGCCCTGTTTTTCCCTGGCCTCAGTTTCCCTTCCTAAGATGGAGGCTTTCAAGGCTCAGAGAGCCAGAGGCTGCTGCTGGCCAACAGCACAGCCTCCACTGTAAGGCAGCACCACATACGCTGCAGGGCACCTGGAACCCTGCTCCTCCTTGCCCACCGTGCCAACACGGCTCCCAAGGTCAGCAGAAGGGGCCACTGCTCCACCCACTGGGGCTTGGGTTACGGCCAGGGCTGTTGGGGACCTCAGCCCCCAGCCCCCAGCGGGGTGAAGCACACTCCGGGGGGGCTTCCACAGGCAATGGAATGAGGATGGAATGAGGATGGTGCGGCCCGCTCTGGCCTCCATGACCCCACACAGAAACACAGGTGACCCTAGCACACCACAGAGCTGTGCAGATACAGGCCGGGACGGGCCCCAGGGCCCAGCTGGGTGCTCCCCTTATGTGACACCCAGTGCCCCCACGCCGTGCCGCCGTTCAGAGGCACGTCTGCACACCCTTGCTTACAGACCAGGCCCATGCACGGGCCCAGCATTCCGCCCTGTCCCGTCACACATGGGCCCAGTGGAGTTGGGGGAGCCTTTTCTGCTGGATGCTGGGTGGCACGGACCCTCCAGCTCTGGGCCCTGGAGGCTCCAGGATGGGGCAAGCCTCCCCTGCGCACGCCTGTGAGGCTGTGGTGGAGCCCTGGCCCTGGCTGGGATCAGGCCCCTCTGCGCTGCTGGAGGCGGGGCCCCAGGCTGTCGGGAAGAGTAGGGAGGTGAGAAGTCACGGGGCCCTCCTGGGGTGCCGAGGCAGGAGCCCTGAGGGCGGGGCCTTGTCACTGCTCTCCTGGGACCTGGCAGGCTGCCCTGTGTCTGGCTCCCTAGCAGATGGGCTGCCCGGGGCACACCTGGCCTGTCCAGGGCTGAGACCTGCGGGTGGGCATGGAAGGCCCTGCTGAGGCCCAGCCCGGCTCCGCCGATGACCTGCCCGCAGCCCCTCCCGCCCCAGCACAGGCCGGCGCCTTACCTGCCAGCGTCAGAGGCTACTCTCGTAGCTGGTGGCCACCTTCTGGCCCTTAAGCCCAGCGCCCCAGCTTAGTCCTGGCGCTGGCGGGGGGGGTTCTACGGTGGACAAGAGGCACCTTTCAGTGTGGTGCGGCTGGGCCCTAGGTCCCTGGCGTGCAGAGGCAAGGCGGTGGTCCCGCTGGGCTGGGAAGGGGCCCTGATCCCTGAGGGGTGCAGCCACAGCTTGGGGCAGGGAAGTGGGGGCAGCCGTCAGAGGGGCCAGCAGGCTGCGCCCAGGTCCTCATGCCTCCCGTCTGCGCAGTACCAGCTGGCCACGCCCCATTCACAGGCCGCAGGGTGGCCGGAGCTGAGCCCGCCTCACCTGACAAGTGCTGGGCGGAGGGTGGGTCATGTGTGCTCAGCAGCTGGGTCTGGATGGTCTCCACCACCCTCTTGAAGCGGCGGCTGGGGCCTGGGGGAGACAGGGGGTTATGCCTGCACAGGCCTGGGCCCGGGGCCGCCCCAGGGTCGCCGGCTCACCTGAAAGCAGGGTGAAGGTGACGGAGTAGATGCCGTTCTCCTTCTGCGCCTCCCCGCCCTCCGTGTAGGTGATATCCACCTGGAACTTGACCGGCTTCTGGAACACGGCGGGCCCCCCCGTGGCCTTGTACTCAGCCCGGAAGCTCGTCTGGGAGATGACACTGTGGCTGAGGCTGGGGATCTGTGGAGGGGGGTAGCATGAGTTTGGCTGGCCTGGCGGGTCCCCCACCGACCCCCTGGGGAGCTGCTCTGGGGAGAGCCAGCCCTACTGTGCACAAACTGAGCACCCAGGCACCTCTGTTTCCATATCTGTGAGGGGCACAGGGCAGGTGGACTCCATCGGAGCAGGGAGGGGGCGTTCCCAGCCCCCACCCTCCAAAGCTTTGGTCTTGTCAGCAGGGGTGGCTGAGCCCGTCTTGGGCTTTTCTTAGGCAGCCACAGCACAGGACGGCCAGGACCTTATAGAGGAGCCTTAGAGGCGGAGGCGACCCCTACAGCCCGAGGCTGGGGTCCAGGGTGGGAGCCGATGGGAAGGTGGAGAGTCGGGGAGCTGCCCCTGGACAGCAGGGGCGTGGGATTGGGGCTGGGACTGTGCCCTCCTGCTGGGGCTTCCTGGGACAGCGCCTACTTCAGCTACAGTTGCCTGCTGCTTATGGGACCCAGGGGGACACAGGGCGCTTGGCACCAGCTGTGTGGGCTCTGCAGTTACCAGGGGGCATCTACAGGAAGCAGAACTTGGGGCCACCCAGGGCACGGGGTCTGGGCTGGACACGACTGCCTCACTGGGGGCGGCAAGGGGAAACACCAGGGCCACCGTTGAGTCTGAGGTTGGCTGTGGCAACTAGGGGCGGCATGAAGGGACATGGTGCGGGGAGGAGGCCCCTGCAGGGACGCGGACACGGGGACGGGGTCTCTGAGGGCCCCTGAAGCCAGGATCCAAGTACCTGGTCCTGCCCTGCCTGTGCCCAGAGCCTTCCGCAGAGGCTCCAAGGTATCCCTACAGCGATAAGGGAAGCTCAGCTCAGCCAGAGCAACGGTGGCCTGAGTGCCCAGAGCGTCCAGTGAGGTGGAGGCCCCCCCCCCCGCTAGAGAGGCCGCCGCCATGAGCCACAGCCTGATCTTGCCAAGATCCTGGGGCCAGAGAGGGCCCCTGGAGGCCATGAAAATGGGGCAGGACAGCAGCCCCAGGGGGTCAGGCTGGGGGCGGCGGGGGCGGCAGGTGGGGGAGGCAGGCGGGGGCGGCCCCTGTGATGCCTGGGCACAGCACAGAGTGGACAGGGCTGGCAGGGAAGGGGCCTCCTGGTAGGACCGGGCGCTCAAGTCCTGGCAATAAAAATTCTCTATTTGAGACTTTATGGGTCCTTCTGCTCCTCTAACCTGACGCCCAGCAAAGACAAACGAAGCCAACCCAAGCCCCTGAGTGCGGCCACCCTTGTGGAGAGCCATCCAGCCTCCAAGGGCAGGGCGAGGCCTGGGGGTGTCCACTGAGGGCCCACAGAGCCCCACGGGGTCCCTGGGGTCACAGCCTCGCAATGGCTTCTTCCTGAGTCTCATGGAGGCGTCACTCTCTGAGGCCCGCTTCGCTGGAGCCTGCCTCCTGCCCCAGGTGCCAGCTGCCCAGCCCTGCCTGGCACACACCTAGGGCTGCCCAGGACCAGTGAGCGAGGCCCTGCCTCCCTCCGCAGGCCAAGTGCCCCAGATGGGCAGGGACCCCTCCCTCGAGAGGGCGGGCAGGAGAGAACGCCTCTGGCGAAGGCAGCTGGGCAGGCCCACAAGTGAATGATGTCCGTTCTGTGTGTGTGTGGACGTGTCCTGGGTCAGGACAGACAGGCTTCTGGATTCTCTGGGGAGCTGGGTGTCGTGGGGTTGGGGCGGGCTGCCCACTCTTGCGGCGGCTGCCCGTTCTTGAGGGGGGCTCGGAGGTGTGGGGTTGGGGGGGCT